AGTGAGGGCTCCGAGCCCAGGTCATTCCAGAGGGACACAGCCACGGCCTGCCTGGTGTTCCCATTTGGATCTGACTCAGCCTGGAGCTTTTCCTCACTGTGCAGCTGTTTGTGGGGTTGGTGACACAGAGATGGAGCTGAGGTGGGTCAGCTGGGGTTGGAGCCACGGGAGCTGCTGTGGGAGAACATGTGCCTTGGTGGGGAGGAGGGCACAGAAGGGACCCTTCAGCAAACAGGCCCAGGAGCCCCGTGGGATGCTCTGAGGTGGTGAGGGGAAGGCACAAGGGTTGGATTGTGTCCATCCACGTTTCTCCCTCTCTCTCCCCCCGGCAGTGTCGTCCCGCCTGTCCCAGACGTCGTCCCCGCAGCCCGGCTGCCCGTCCCCCTCCATCCAGGGCAAGGTGCTCTCCTCCTCCCAGAAGCACAGCAAGAAGGCTCTCAAGCAGGTGAGTGGCCCGGGGGACCTTCCTGGACATGCCTGCAGTGCTCCTGTTCCTCTGGGAAATGGTGTTTCCTGGTGAAACTGCACCTGAAGGGAGTTCACCCGGGAATTAATCCGGGAGTTCTCGGCGTCCATAAACAGCGTTGGGCTGAAACTTCCCCCTCCCCTGAAGGAGACCAAAGTGTTGTGCTGTTCCATTCCTTTGCTTTTCCCTGAATAAGCATCAGGACCTTTTTTAAGTATTGTTTTATAGAAAGGCCATAAAATGTGCTTTGTTTTCCCCCAGCCCTCTGCTGAGTGCCCGCAGCTTTCCACAGTCCGGTTTAGGAAATGGTTTTAGTGACTCCAGTTTTTTTGGGGAGAAGAATTAAATGCACTGACTTCTTCCCCTGGTTCCCTTCCACGGAATTCCAGGGGTGCTGTGTGTCCACGTGGAAGGAAGGGGAGGAGAGCAGGAATTCTGTGGATGGTGTGTAAGGAGGGAAGGAGGACAGGAATTCTGTGGATGGTGTGTGTATGGAGGGAAGGGGAAGGAGAGCAGGAATTCTGTGGGTGTGTGTATGAAGGGGCAGGAATTCTGTGGATGGTGTGTGTGTGGAAGGGAAGGAAGGCAGGAATTCTGTGGATGGTGTGTATGGAGGGAAGGGGAAGGAGGGCAGGAATTCTGTGGGGGTGTGTGTGGAGAGCAGGAGGGCAGGAATTCTGTGGATGGTGTGTGTGTGGAGGGAAGGCAGGAATTCTGTGGATGGTGTGT